GGGGGAGCGGGGGGGGCTGGCAGGGGTCCCCCTATGGTCCCCTCCCCTAGTCCCCCCTCCTCTGCTCCTCATACTTACCAGCTCCGAGTCCAGCTGCAGCCACCAGGGACTGCCCGAGTCATCAAAGCTCTCCGAAGCTTTTCAAAGCTCTCTGAATCGATACGGACCTTTAAATTGGTCCCCTGATTCAATTCAGATTCAGAGATTCAGTCACCGAATCGGGCCCAATCTCCTCTGAATAGAATCACCACCTAAAGCTTCGCACAGCCCTAATAACTGCCACAATGATCTCCTGTGCTGAGGTTCCTTTATTTTAATGAAGAGCCATGTGACCCCATCTTAGGCAATGACTAAATTGGTCAAGAGGTTTGGTTGCCCAAAGCACTAGTGACCAGGCAATTTTGCAAAAAAAATTAGCTTTTTTCCCTGTCCACTGCCCTCACTAACTCGGCAACTCCAGAAATCTGAATAGCTCATCACATTGTACGTTGTAGGTGGAATGCACTTTGCAATGATTATAGCACGTGGGCTGACAGTGGACAATTAACTGGGGATCTTGCACACAAAAAGGTCTCCTTCTTAAACAAAAGAGCTAAGTTTCCCAACTGGTCACTGTGGCTAAATACCATGAAGTAGCCACTAAAGGGGATACAAAAGCCTGTGCTGCTGTAATAGTGCTTTCAAGATATGAAAGCACAGTGAAATATGGTGGGTTGTAACATCTAAAACAGTGGTACACCAGGGAAAGGCAACAATGCTAAGAGTAAGATATCTACCAATCATAATATATCAGGTGCTCGCTGTGCACACTGGCAATGGTAAAATGTTGCTAGGAGACAATATGCAACATGAAGGTTACTTCCATGGAGGGCAAAGCAAAAAGTGCACTAAGCAGGGCACAGGAGTTATACAATACCTAGATACTATTGACAGGATTCTTGATTTTCACTTTCAAAAGTCACTCTGATCTTTACACTGGATGAACTCGGGCATGGATTCAGATTATGGGCCTATCAGCCTGACCTCTATCCTGGGGAAGGTCTTGGAAAAGATTATCAAAGAGGCCATCCTTAACAGACTAGCTGATGGCAATATTCTGAGGGATACCCAGCACAGGTTTGTTGCGGGTAGGTCTTGCTTGACCAATCTCATTTTCTTTTACAACCAGGTGACCTATCACCTGGACAAGGGGGACAAGATTGATGTCATATATCTTGACTTTAAAAAAGCCTTTGATTTGGTATCCCATGATCACCTCTTGGCTAAACTGGCCAACTGTGGCCTCGACCACACCACGATCTGCTGGTTGGGGAATTGGCTCCATGGTAGGACCCAGAAGGTGGTGGTCGACGGGAGCTAGTCGTCTTGGTGCGCTGTGACCAGTGGGGTCCCTCAAGGCTCTGTCCTAGGGCCTTTACTATTTAACATCTTCATCAATGATGTGGACACTGGTGTCAGAAGCGGACTGGCCAAGTTCGCCATGACACCAAACTCTGGGGTAAGGCGTCCACACCTGAGGACAGGAGGGCGATACAGGCAGATCTTGACAAATGGGTGGATGAGAACCTGATGGTGTTTAACACCGAAAAATGCAAGGTTCTCCACCTTGGGACGAAAAACCTGCAGCATGCTTAGAGGCTTGGTAGTGCTATGCTGGTTAGCAGTACAGATGAAAGGGACTTGGGCGTCATGATTGACCACAAGATGAACATGAGCCTGCAGTGCGATGCTGCGGCTAGTAAAGCGAGCAAAATGCTGGCTTGCATCCATAGATGCTTCTCAAGCAAATCCTAGGACGTCATTCTCCCATTGTACTCGGCCTTGGTGAGGCCGCAGCTGGAGTACTGCATCCAGTTTTGGGGTCCACAATTCAAAAAGGATGTGGAAAAGCTTGAGAGAGCACAGAGGAGAACTATGTGCATGATCAGAGGTCAGAAAAACGGACCTTATGATGAGAGGCTGAGAGCCATGGGACTCTTCAGCCTGGAAAAGTGCAGGCACAGGGGCGATCTGGTGGCCACCTATAAGTTTATCACTCACCAGGATCTGGGGGAATGCCTGTTCACCAGAGCCCCCCCAAGGGATGGCAAGATCAAATGGTCACAAACTCCGCCACAACCGATTCAGGCTGGACATAAGGAAAATTTCTTTACAGTTCGAGTCCCCAAGGTTTGGAATAGACTGCCGCCGGAGGTGGTTCAAGTACCCACTTTGAATGCCTTCAAGACATCTGGATGTTTATCTTGCTGGGATCCTATGATCCCTGCTGATTTCCTGCCCCTGGGGCTGGGGGCTGGACTTGATCCTTTGGGGTCCCTTCCATCCCAAATGTCTATGAAATCTATGAAATTATGCCCTGCACATTTAGGTGCCACACAACCTGATTTAGCAGGTTCTCTATGGGAATTTATGCAGAGTAGAAACAATTCTTGGGCTGCAGAGGTCTATGCAATGGAAAGAACAGCTTGATCTAAATACTAAAACAAACAAGTTCAGGCTGATGGGTTCTCTTTGCACAAAGTAGGGATATTAGACAAAAAACAGGGATCCATCAAAGATTCTTTATTTATTTCAAGCAAGATACACAAATAGATAAAGCTACTAACATTTAGTTTTGTTTATAAAAAGTGCAGTATTTATTAAATACAAACCATTGGGAAAAAGCAACCAAGTCTTCATTATGATGCCAACAGGAAGACAGAATCAAAGAAGCTTACCAAGTTTATAGTTTCTAACTGACTGCAGTATTTACTGTAATTGTTCACTGACTTAGTTACATGCAGTGATCGAACATTATAACAATCAACGTTATCCTGGTTTTTAAAAGGAGTTAATTCACCATAGGATTTCTTCTATCCCCACCCTCTCCCCCAAACCACAAAATATAATCAAGGAAACAAACACCTCCAAGTTAAAAGTCAAGGTAAGAAATACTGAAGAAGTTACCCGTTCTCTATAGGATAATGCTAAAACATTTGCTTGCAATCACACAAAGGTATTAAGCTTACAAAAGAATTAGATAAACATTTCAATCAAGATGCTCAGTAAGCATTAAAAAGTTTGACATTTTTCCAGTGGAAGGCAAAAAAAGGAGGGCATCTTTGAAATACAAAAAGGCCTAAGAACTGGGCACATGGTTTACACCATAAAGGTCAGCTACCAAAATGCCATCTGGTTGATAATCACCCGTCTGTATAATCTAACGGCTGGAATGTCCTCTCAAGAGCTATTGGAAAGCTAGTAAAAGGGCACATTGTGCCATGTTCATCAGCTTTTCTCCTTCCTTAAATGAACAGAGAAATGGCCTAGCTATGACTGTATTGGAGGAGGAAACTGGAGTCCAGCTTCCTAGTTGGAAAGCACTGTTATTTTCTCAGTGCTACTAGAGATGTGGTATGGATTGTGGACTGGGTCTACAAGGATGATGCACAATCCAGTGAAGGTCAGGGAGGTGAAGATTTACCCCATCCAAACTGAAAGCCACTAACCCAGAGGCACTTTGTTCCATTCTTTTAATAAAAGGAGAAAGCAAATATTTTCAGGACACTATATGTACCTTCCCATTTTACCCTGGATTCTACTTTCTGACTGCAGCTTAAAGTGAGTGTTGGCTTTATGGCTATAAAAAATGTGCATTTCAGTGCTTGACTTTTTGGGGACAACCAATTAGTTGAAAGATACGGCAAGGAAGAACTACCATGAATGTAAACTGATGGCTCTAAGTCTACATTCTATTCTTCTGTTATAAAGTCATTTTAAATGTTTCAGCACCTACAATGTCACTGTGCAGAAAGTGCAACGATACTATAGAACACTCGCTTGCTCTGTATGTGCGTTTGTGTGAGTGTATGTCCATCCCGATTGTTGCAGTATTGGACTTTTTATTCTATTTCAAAGAATGGAAAATATGGGATAGAAGAACACACATCAGGATTTACTTTACACCTATAGCCCAACTGCAGTCTGTCAAAGAATTCACGCTTTCTGAAATCATCAGCAGAAGGCACCAAAGGGCATCTTGTGAAATGGCAGAAACTCATGGTATCACAGGAATTGAAACAAAAAATAATAATAAGGCTAAACCTGTTTATCATGCTGGTCATGTCTCCAGATAGGCTGCATATTTAAACCAGCTCAATTATTTTAAAGCATCTTTGCAGGTTGAGAAAACTTTATTTGGGAATCTTTTAGCAAGAGCCTTTCAAGCCTGACTGAAGATAAGAGGTGTCGGCACCAATTCTACTCCAAGTTGCGTGAGTGGAAGCCTGGAACAATCTGACTGACTGTTTGGGGTTAGAACAGGTCTAAATCAAAATAAGCCAATGCTTTTACTCCAGATATACATCAGTGTAATCAAGAAAAGAACGTGACACCTAGTTCTTAATCCGATTTAACATTTTCTTTACATATGCACTTCTACAAAATGGATCACATCAGCCAACACTGGTTCTAACTGGCATAGAGCAGGGGTATCAAACTCATCCCAGGCTGGATCCAGATCACATGGCTCCTCCCAGGCTGGATGTGCAGGGCCAGCAGTGGCAGCTGTGACAAGCCCAATAGGCAATGGCAGTAGAAGGCCAGTGGGCATAAACTGAATGAGGTCGTATCATCACAGCACTTGCCAACCCCTCTGCTGTTGACTGTCATGTCCATTAGGACTCAGGTGCCACAAATTCTGCAGTGGACCCTACCTGTGACCTTCTGGTAGCCCAGCAGGCTGGGTGGGAGAGCTCCATAGGCTGGATCCATCCCACAGGCTGTATCTTTGACACCCGTCATACAGAAAGGAATTTGAGTTTCTTAAATTTTTCTACCATATCTCAACTTTCAAACTAATGACAACAATGGATAATGTAAATGAAAGCATAAAGCTCGAAACAACACACACACACACACACTTGCCTTCACCTAGTATGTAATCAAAACTTTCATGGTTGCATTTACAACCACAATGCCAAGAACAGCATTCTTGAGGTAGCTAGAAGTTAAATAGCAAACCACAGCACAGACAAGACTACACAGGTGCTCACACTCTTTGCAAACGCACCCTTTGGAGACAACGTTATTTTGTGCATATGAGCATGTGTTCAAGAGGCACATAATATAGAAGGGAGTGAAGAGGAAGAGTTTGGTGGTGCCGAGATCCCGACACAAACTTCTCTCCACAGAAATTTACACTTAGAAAGCCTGACACTATATAAACTCTAAAACTGTCGTGTACACACACACACACACGTTAGAATAGTTTCATTTAGAAGCTTTCCACAAGTGCACAGTTCACACAACTTCTGCAGTCTTCAGGATGAAATGGTGATCCGTGGTGACATTTGTTTTGAAACTGAAAAGAATTATCCAGTCTTGTGCAATTAGGTTTCTGTTGTATAGTTGCTGTACGACAGGGAGGGCAATGATGAAAAGTTGTTATTCCACTGTCTCCCACCAGTGCCCTGTTGCATCTCTGCCTGCTCTTTATATTTAATCAGAAGATTTTGGGCTTCTTGCACATCTTGCAAGGAGTTTTCTCCATATGCTTCCTTCAGCCACTGTCTGAACTGGAGAAATCAAACAAAGTGGGTGAAGCACCTAAGTATCAACACAGACCAAATGCAAAAATAATGCCTTCCTTATTGAACAGCATCTTTAGTATCATTATCTTTCAAAAGCATTAGTAAAAAATGATTTCTCAATTACATCATTTAAGCCTTTTACAGCAGAATCCTTGTGATCTAAAGAAAGATACCTCGAGTGCTTCACAAAGTGCAAAACAAACACATTAGCATGTGTGGAACCCAGCATATGAACTGTCCTGAGGAAGTGGATGACACCAATGACTTCATTAAAGTTACACATATGCATAAAGGTTTTGCGGACTTGGATCGCCATTTGGAATAAGGTACTCCTGAAATAAGTGGTGGTCTCGCAACAGAAACGCCACCATGGGCTTGGGAAGTAGCAGAAAATTGGCATTTTAAAATCAACTGAGGTAGCACCTTGTCAAAAAAAAAAAAAAAAAAAAGAGTAAAAGTTATGGGACTCCTCATATTCATGGTGCCCTTGTTTTAACACTCAAAATAGCACATAAGGTATCAGGTGTTTAATGCACAAGTTGGAATGTGGTATTGTGCTTTTAAAACAGTTCATGTGTATAGAGAGAACAAAGTAATGAAAAAATTTAAATGTGTAAATCATTAGAGGCTGGGCTAAACCTTGCTGAAATGAGTCTAACTAGCAGCCTTCATTTTAGATACCTGTAGGAGACAGATAAGCACATGTTTCTTTCCCAAACAAAAGGAAGAACAAGGAAGCTCAAGATTTTGAATGTTTTGCACAGAGGGCTTTCACTGGGTCTTGTTTGAGCTATGGTCCTGGGTCAGAAAGGACTGGAAGATTTATGGGCGATATCTTTTATTGACCAACTACATGGTCAGGATAGACATAGACAAGATTCTGAATGCAATGCCTCCTTCTTTAAGTTTTACTAGATGGTAAATAAAAAGGAGCAGCTCTGGTGTGAGAAGTGGGATACATTTTCCAATGAGAAAAAAAATTGAGTGCCAAGATGGAGCAAAAATAAGGAGCTGCTCGCAGAAACCAAAACAGGCCAGAAGCAAAATAAGATCTAGAACAACAGCTGGAAACTTCCAAAAAGAAGTTAAAATCAACTCCAAATCAAGAGCTAGAGGCCTCCCATAAAGAATCAATACATATTTCTTAAAACAACAACTATAAACTGCCAAGACAGACTGGGAAACCCACCTGCAAAACCCCCAGATCTGGTGGGTAAGACAGATCCAAGAATGGTAAGACAGATCCAAAGGTTAACCATCAGTTTCTCTCAAATCAAGGGAAACCAAGGAATATATAGCTAACTGGTAGGCCTGTGCGAAGCAGCAAGCATTCACTTTGGATTCGGCCAATTCGGAGGACAGAGATTCGAATCTCCAAATCAAATCACTGTCCTGATTTGATTCGGCCAAATCACATCTGAAAGATTTGGCACCGCTTTGGAGATTTGGCCATAGACTAAACAGGCAGCTGACAGATGTCTCCAGCTGGTAAGTCTGTTGGGTTTGGGGGAGGCGCTAGGACAAGCTGCCCAGCTGGGGCGGGGAGGCAAGTTACTCGGGGAGGGGGGCAGAGGGGCTGCGTGGGATGTGGGCATGGCAGTGCTGGGAGCAGGAACTCTACCTTGCCGCTGCTTGCCAGCTGATGCGGGGGGCATGGGATACGGGTACGGCAGTGCTGGGAGCGGGTGCTCTGCCCTGCTGCCGCTTGCCCCCTTCCAGCTGGAGCGAGCCTGCATCCCGCCCCCACCAGCTCAGCAAGCGGCAGCAGGGCAGGGTCCCCGCTTCAAGTGCTGCCATGCCCGTATCTCACACCCCGACCCTCCCCAAGTAACATGTCCCTCACCCTGGCTGGGAAGCTTGTCTCAGCCCCAGCCCCAATCCCTCCCTCCCTCCCCCATGCTGCTTCCCTCCCCACTCCCCAACAGACTTACCAGCTGGAGGCAGCCGTCAGCTACCTGTTTAGTCTACAGACAAATCTCCGTAGCAGCCATATCTTTTTCAAAGCTTTTCCAAATCAATTTAGAGCTTTTAATTGGTCTGCTGATTCGATTCAGGAGGTTTGGTCCCCGACTCAGGCCCAATCTCCTCAGAATCGAAATCGGCTACCAAAGCTTTGCACAGCCCTACTAAAAGGGACTTGCATACAGACTTGCATTTAAGGAGTTAAAAATTTAGCTCCAGAAGGAAATCAATCATAGACCTCAATGGGAAAAATCAAGCCATCTGGATACTGAATTGTGCTTGTTGTAGGAATTAGACAAGATTGGACAGTAACAACAGTTCACCCCATTTATAGCCAACAGAGGCCCAGAAGGGAGAGACTAGGCTATCCAAGAGGAAATAATATTACAACTAACCATCTTTTGAGGGAAAAGCTTACTTTGTTCAGTTCAATATTAAAAGAAAAGAAGGTTTCTAGTAGCCACCTTGAGTGACAGCTGTGATGGCAAAAGGGAGAGTTATTCAGTGGTCATATGGTGCTTGGAGCCAGCCATCATTCTGAGATGTCTACAGAAGAAGCTAAGCACTAGAAGGAAAAGGAAAGAGGAAACCTACTTATGTGAGCAGAGGAACTATGGACCTTGTGTTCATGCATATCCAGGTATTAAAGGAAATTTCCAGGATAAACTAGCAATTTAGATGCTCAGTGAAATGGTATCAATAAAAAAAGGAGGCCATAAACAGCAGTTGAGAAATTGGTCATAGGAACTAACTTTTTTGCAGCAGTGCAGAGGTAGAAACAGCTGCTAGTGAGGAAAAAATGAAGGCAATCATATGAGTCCTATAGGTATGGCTCAATATTGAATTTGCCTGGCAAAAAGGGAATTTGACCCAGTTCATGGTAGTTAGAAAAAGATATCATCAACTTTGTTAAACGAGGGAAACTGGTAATACTGAGAGGCTGGCCAATGTGTAGTAGGCTTTGTGAACTGCGTGGGATGCCGGCTCAGACCATTCTTAGACCAGATGCCCTAAAAAAAAAAAAAAAAGGCTACATCACAGAGGAGCCCAAACTGGACCATCTACTTGGCCTCAAAGGAAAACAGTAAGTGAGAAACATGAGTCCCTTCAAAACTGGGTACACTGGGCTTGAAAATACAGGCTCCGAATTCCAGCATAGCTAGCTTTCCTTCCTGTCTATGCTCTTAGACCAAATACAAGGTCTTATTTTTTGTTTTCAAATACCACAAACTTCCCCACACAAAACACAATCAAAGTTTTTCTGGTCACAGTGGGAAAGCTTGGAATTTAAAGATAAAGTATCATGTAGAAGAGGAGAAAAAACAATGGGAGATGGGCAGAGGAATCAGCTGGCTGGTCCAGATATGTTGTGAAACACTGTTATGGGGCTAATTTCATAGGTTTAAAATGATTCAATGTTTTGGGATTCCAAAACTTTAGTCAAGCTAACATAAGAAATTATACTGACAAACATGCAGATAGGACATGGAGGGTGCCTATGTAAAAATGCCTCATGTTATGGAGTTTATCGTCTCTTGGTTTCTTAGTGGGAGACAGCAACATACATCCTAGTGAATTAATTCCTTGAGAGGTTAGGGGTCCCAGGTCACTTAAACCACCATGTCCCAACCAGTGTGCCACAGCACAAAAGTGTATTGTCAGAAATGAACAGGTGTACCACAGAATTTTGCCATGAGCTACAATAGGTATGAGGTTGGGGAATGCCTTAACAGGTGTGCCGCAGAAATTTTTTATTAATGTAAGTGTGCCTGCGGCTGGAAAAGGTTGGGAAACATGACTCAGACACAGGGAGAAGCCTTTTGGCAGGTTTGTGAGATTCAATGGAGCCAAAACACGCCCTACCTGAGCTCACTTACAACAGCAGGAAATGGTGGAAATATCTGATAAGACTCTGGAGATCCCATTAGCTACATGTTAGAAGAGTACCAGAAAGACTGTGGCCAGTATATGCCATTCCTTTTGATGAGTCACAGAACAATAAACATATGTTTATGCTATTACTCATGATGTTTTGGCATCACCGAAGGACATGCAGAAAGCCTCCTATGGGAACTCCCAAAGAAGAATCAAGGACATTGGTCATTTATGGAAAAGCAAAAATGGAACCACTGATTTAGATGATATAGAAAACTAAAAATGGAAAGACTTTATACCTTTACTAAAAAAAAAGATACAGGACAGACTGTAAAAATTATTTTTAAAAGTTCATATTATGACACAAGGATTGGTCTGGTCTAACAATCCTTGGGGGAAGAAAGGCAGGAGCTTCATGCAGGATAAACCTTGAAAGGCACCCTGTACCTGAGTGACCTGAATAAATGCAGTGGTGAGTAGAATATAGTTTGCTGGCCAACACTGACTTTACGATTCTGCTTGAAGGGACAGAATTGAATCCTGTGACAATTCTTCCAGCCTCAGCTCCCACACCTATATGATTTTTAGGGAGGTAGTGGAGGGATAGGATTTCAGGAGAACTGTCCCCATCCCATGCAGAACAAACAAACACTGAGATCACAGGCTAAACCCAAAATCTTAGCGCACGCCTAGGGAATATTCAGAAGTGACACATGCATACTATGATTTCCACTGGCTACCAGCTAAGAAAACCAAGTCTAATGGATTACATGTCCAGAAACCCCAAAATGTGTCACATTTGCATAACAAAAACTACCATGGTGCCATACTAAAACTAAGGCCCATATTATGAGCAGGTATAAATTGGCAAAACTTGCTGAAATAAGAGATTCACTGATGCACATCTGCTGGGGATCTGGGCTGCAACTGAGAAAAGATAACTTGCAACTCATCATGTTAAAAAGGTGGACATTTCTTCTTGTAGCCTAATATACGCACTGCAGCAAAGGAACTGCAGCACCCCTCTATTGTGAAATGAAAAATACAATTATACGTTACTGCCTTCATGAGGCTATTTGCATATAGCAATGTCATTTAGGGTTGTTAGCTGAGGCCAATTAGCAATGAAATGACTAACCCCTTATACAAGACAGAAGAGAGACCAGTCTGGAAACTCCCTCTAATTGTGTCTTTAAAAAAATGTCAGTTACCCTCATTTACACAAGGTCTATATGGATCCAGGAAATATTTGGTTAAATTTAACAGACACACAACACAAACAAACAAACAAACAAACATTTACCGTTGAAATCTGCATTATTTAAAGAGCAACAGTCATTTCTAAATTGTGTTATTGCAAGAAAAAGGGAATGAAAAATAAAGCAGACTTCCTCACCTCATTTATTTGTTTATTTTTAAGAGACAGAAACATGCTGAGCAATGGAAAGTGGAGCCAGAAAAGTGACCCAGCCTCTCCCACTCAAACACTTGCTCTTTGCCTGTACTCAGTTATATCCACTCACCTACTGGATCAAAACACCAAACCATTTCCTCCTTCGCCATCCCAATTCCCAAAAGCCTACATAGGTCAAAAATGATATTTCAATTTGTGTCCAGCTCATGCATTGTTAATTAAGATCCAGGTATAATAAACTATTTGCCACAGATGAAGGTACGCAAACCAGATTAAGAACCCAGTTTAAATCTCCCTAACGATCATAGAAACTAATTTTTTCTTGCTTTAGCATGAAAAAAAAATACCAAATCTCTTCCAATATAAGCTGCACTTGAAAATAAAATGTATTTTAGAAGAATTTTTAAGTTAAAAAAAAGTTATTTTTGTATGAACCAAAAAAGGAAGTAGTTTTGTTTAATATTTTGCTTTGGCTTTTTTAAAAATTAAGAGCCAGAAAACTTGGGTGCATTTTAAAGTCAAGGGTGTCTAACATTCAACGGAATACAGTATTCCTTGCCTTTCCACCTTACAAATTTGTTGCATTTTGAGTCATTTGTCCTTTAACTGTTCACGTCTTGACACCCTCAGGTAACCCAAGTGTAGTTGTGTGGGGGTTCATTAAAACAAAAATGTAAGCATTACATACGTGGTCAACATCATGTCTTTCAAACTCTTGCAGCTGCCTCTGGAAACCCATATTCGGATTGGCACATGATCTTGCAGCTCTTACAGCAGATAGTGCATCTTCCCAGCCAAAGTCTGTGATCGTCATGATGTAGGCCACAACCAAAGTCACACTCCTGGAGACTCCAGCAAGACTGTGGCACAAACGAGATAATAAATAGGTGCAATAGAACAAGACTTTACATTATTTACACAGCACCATAAGGACACTGCCTTAGGGTGCTACACAGAGGTGCTCCCTTTAGTATAGACCTTTAGTGGGGAAGGAAACTTCTTTTTTCCCCCCCCCTCGATATTACGGTTATTTTGAGCTTAATGTAGTGTTTATTGGCAAAAGGAGGATTTCTGTATTTGGGAGGACAGCCACAGACCCTCCATAGAAAAGGGGGGTGTGGGCTTGGGATGGACACTAGGAGGAAGGCTCTCCACTGGGTTTGAGGTAGGAGAGTGGGAGTGGAACGAGGTTTTCTATATCTAGATATGAATGGGGGTTGGGAAGCCTGGTTGGGATGCGCCTGATTACCTGCCCAGAACCTGAGCCTTTCTGGATAGGATAGTATTATCATTATCATCAACAATGTTTAAATAATAAATACATTCAATTATAAATGAATGATAATGAGTTCTAAAACAATGAATAATTAATATATGCATAAATGAATAAACAACAACATACACAACATTTTTTGGAAGAGAGATTCTCCCTCCACTAAAAGTAGGTAATTAAAACAATACGGCATCTGTCACCATGAGGTAGAAATAGCATTACATTTTTTTATATACTACACCTTTTAACTATAGAGGAGGGAAACTATTCGTGGTAGTGGTGAGGGAGGGACTGGTTGAACTTCTGTTCAGATGAGATTAGTAAAGGAAAAAAACAAAACACACATCTCTCCATACAAACTAGCGCACAACAGTTTTGTCCTTGTTTTTTCCTCTTGCACCAGAAAAGTCATCCAGACTGCAAAAATCACATCTCACCTATGTCTCCCTTTCCCACCATGGAACAGGATCATAATAAAAAAGTAGCCTTATCCTGCATAAAGAGACATTTTGTTTTAATGAAACTAGTTTTCATAGAATGAAAGGTTTTGACTGATCTGAAATGCTAGAGGACAAGGCTCAAAGTTTCACATTCTGCAGTTACATCTATTACGGATGTGCTTTCAATAGATGCTGCCTCTATGACTTGGTAATAATGGGCACATACAGACATGCAGAGAGGCTGCTCCAGTGTGCTGTAAATCCAGCACATCAGAGCAGGCTTGATTAATCATGGAGCATGGAAACTGACTGTTCTCCAACAGCCTTCAGTCACCACACTGAAAAATGGCAACGAGGCACTTTGAACTAAAGTTCGGTGAACAAGCTTTATTTTAGTTGAACATGCCCCATTGCCATTTTTTCAGCACAGGGACACCAATACACTTGACGCGTAGGCACTTTTAATTGGCTCAGTTTGCTAATTAAAGCACCACCCACACCACACGCCCCTCCAGGAGCACATCCATAAACACCCGATCATTGTACCTTCCAGTGCAAAGAAGTTTGGCAGAAACAGAAAAAGTACTATTCTCCAACTATTTGGGTTGGTCTAATAAAAGATATCAAATTCACCCAAGGAACCTTGTCTGCCTAAGCATCCTTACTACTCTAGGGAGAGAAGTAAGGAGAATCTTACTGTAGATAAGACTTGCATAAGATTTTCAAAGTGCTTTGAAAAAACCTAAATGGAGTACGTTCACAACAGCTTCACCTTTATGGCCATGTATAAGGGGGAAAAAACAGAGAGATGCAAAACTTAAATAACTTGCCCACTTCCAAACACAAGCCAGTGGCAGACGGAGGATTAGAATCCAGGTCTCTCGCTCTAAATCATTACATGACAATTCTTGTGATAGATGAGGGGCTGTCCAACTGGCGGCCCACAAGAGACTGGCAGCCTGCAAGGGCTTAAATGGTGGCCCCAGGCTCCCACCCAACCACAAGTCCCCCTAACTGCTCCGGGTGCAGAATGAGCCAGGGTGTCCGGGCTCCCTTCCCCACCTCAGGGGGCAAGGTGGTGCAGCCCACAGAGCTAGGCAGGAGTGACTGGGGCATCAGCTGCAGGTGGAGGGGTGTAAAAATAGTTGTGACCACAACTGCTGCAGCTACCTTGGGTGTGGAGCTGTTACACCTAGGAAGGGGGAGCCCACCATCCGAGACACCTGAGAGGTGTGGTGCAGCTGTGAAGCCCACAGCCAGGAAGCTTAGGGTGAGGTGCCAGGTGTGTGCGTGGGGGGCGGCACCAGGGTGCATGATGCTGCCAGGAGAGTGGGAGAATCAAATCTGCAAGAGCACCTAATAAAGTGATTGAGATTATAGGTTTAACCTTGAAGAAAAAAGGGCAATTAATCTTAACGGGAAAAAGAGATGATGGTGAAATTCATTGTTAAAAGACAAGAGGATGGATAGTAAAAAAAAGTGAGCAGAGGAGTGGGGTACCAAAACTTTAGGGTCTACTCCTGGATCTACAACTAGCACATTGTACTCTGAAACAGCCACTTACCGATTTGTGATTCCCAGTGGAGCAGGTAAGTTTGTAAAGCTCCCGGGACCTTTAGATGACGAGGGCTGTTGCTTTGCAAAATGTATTAACATTACAAATGGAAAAAAGAGGGAAGAACTCTAACTTATTAAGACAACAAAATAAGAGGGGTAAAAATAAGAATGCTCTTAAGCAACTGACATACGTACCAGTGAACAAGACAGCCCTCACCTCTAAGGCGACACTCATGGATAAAGTTGATGCTCTCCTTGAAATGTCTTGTCCTAAATATAGAAGAAAGAAGAAAATAAAAAGTCCTTACTTTAATAAAATCACAGCTAAGAAATCCAGAGAAAAATATATGAAAAGTTACTTAACATTGCTTTCAGAATACAGAACTAACTGCGGTATTTGCAAAAAAGTCTGTATTGGTCAAAAAACCCCATACAATTGCTAAGGTTATTCTCCAACTGAAGAAAAACTGATCTCATGTACAACTCTTTAGCAACTGCTGGCAAATACTTTACTCCAAAGACTGGCAAATACGTAGCTTAACCTTCCAGAAAAACAAATAGTTTGGTCTGTCTTCCTGACCTCTCCCTGTGGATGTCCAGCCAGAGTTCCTGAGGGAGGGCAAGCCTTCTATCCATCATAGCAGATACCAGCAATTCCCTATCTATCACTCAAGTCTAATTTCAGATTTATCCTTGCCTGAATGGCATGGTTTCTCTCTGCACAGCATCTCCAAATTAATCTTTTCCTTCTTTCCTAGGATGCCAAAATGCAAGTTCTGAACACGTCCTCTTTCCTACTCCAGACTCTACCTCTAGCTTTGCTGTCTCCCCCACTCAAATCCTTTCAAAATGCTGCTCACAGTGTAATTCTCAGCTCCTTCCTCTAACTTCACCACTTCTCCCATTAAGCATAAGTTCCCTCGACTGTTATATCAAACACCAAGTTCTGTTCCTTACTTTGAAAGGTTCACCTTTTTATCTGTCCCATTCCTTTACCGTAAAGTCCCTCTTTGCCTTTCAACTAGCTAATACGAATGGCTCAATGCTCCTTTTCTCCAGGAAAGAGAAGCCTTCTGCTGTGTCACCTCTGACAAGGCAGCAAAACTCTTTAGCCACAACTCACAAAGCTACAACACCTTTACCCTGCTCCCACATGCTCCTCTCTTGGAACGTGTGCAGAAAACAATTGCCTGATAAGAGAAACTTACAATCTATTCTGCTATTACCACTACTAAATGGCTAAGAATTGTAGGCATCCTGTTAGGTTTACCAAGTTTTCCTTGCTTCCCATCATTGCCTAATCATTTGTCCTATTCACCTACAGTGGGACTTCAGTGCACAATGTTTATTATAGAGATCAAGGAGCCCAAAACAAAAGCAGTGGTACCAAAATGACACCATTCAGAGCCAAATGCAAACAGTTTAATTCCCAAACACACTGAGTTCATGAATGTCAGTTTCTGAAAACTGTCTTGCCTATACATAGATTTGCACTAGTTTACTTCATAGATCAGTTTTAAACAAACGTGGACTCTTATTCCAATTTAAACTAATGTTATTTAAGATTTAAGCTAATAATCATCATGAGAACCCATTAAAGGCTTTCCATTCAGCTTAAGTCAAGAGTTGCAGTTGGAGTTAGACAACACAAACCTCCACATCAGAGCACTGATAAAGACCCGAGCATGCTTGTGAGAATCTGCTAGGTTAATGAACTTTTCACTCCCCTCATGAAAACCAGTTGAATTTCACATCAGTATATAATTAAGTACCTTGGCAGACATCTAGCCTGCTTACTAGTCAACTAAATGACTAATTTCTAAAGTAGCTCATTCTTAAGCATAAGAGAAAAGAGACTCAATATAACTTCGTTCTCAAAAAAGCCCAGTCACTGTTTCATGGGTCACACAATAGGGCAGTGATCACTGGAATCACCGGTCACCTTGGCATGCTTACCGAAGGGGGCTTACCTCATTTTGAATTCCCCATGGGTAGACTTTCAAATCAGTTAAAAGGAGGCAAAAGTGTCAAGAAAATCATTTAAAATAATTCAGCATATCCATATGGAATCTTTCAAGAGCCACGGGAGAAGCAAGGAAAGTTGGTACTGCGCTCATTAAGCCAAAACATATGAAGTCAAAAGGACAGATGAATGCCAATGTGCCCAAGGGCTGAACAGGCAAGCTAAAAAAATATCTCCTCCCAAGTTTTGATGAAGCAACTGGCAATTAGGTCTTAAAAAAGCCAAGCATAGGATGCAACAAAGAGACAACATATAAAGAGAAAGAGCAAAGAAAACATAAATAATAGTTAGCAAAAGAAATCAAGATGATGCAATATATTACAAATAAAGTAGATGCATTTATCCGCAGTCTCTGTAGGTCACCCCAGAGTAAGAAGGACAATGCTGAACTATGACAGGGCCTGCAGAAATTCTGTACGGTTACTGTACCTCAAGCTCTGACTAGAAAGGATGGAAAAACTCCCCAAGGCACTTTTAAACCGAAAAAACGTGGTGTATTGTTAATGAAAACAGCTTTCTGAGGAAGAAAATTCAGCTTGAGAAACCTCCAGTGGGCTTGGATTTAACCAAAAAACTTTTTTTTTTTTAATTTTAACAAAAAAAATACTTTCTAACAAAAATTTTTCTTCAATCAAAACCACCTATTTTCACCCTCCTAAAAAAAGTGACTTGCAAAAACTGTGACGACATGTGGTGCCTGCATTTTGCTTGCAGGACTAACCTATAGGCAGCAGAAGCACCTGACAAATGATATAGTCACAGAGTAAATTAGGGAATATTTAAAAAGAATACTCAGGGCATGCCACCAGCATAGTACCTCAAGTAAATACTCTCTCCAAGAGGTCACTGCTTAGAAGAGTTAAAAACTTGTGGTTTTGTCTCGATTTACCCTGACCACCTTTTCTTTACATCCCTGCTAAATGGGAGACTGACGTCCCCCGCCCCACCAAAGTTGCTTGAAACACTATGGAAGTGACCTAGAAAACGTTTTACTAAATAAAACACTTTGGTTTATGCTCCATTTACAATTTCAAGGCTATCCTAAGAAAAACAACTCTCTCAAAGTGTTAATTATAAAACATAATGCAAATAAAGAAAATTTACCTTAGTGCCTTGCAGCTATGTGGCTGCAAGGCACTACGGTAAACAAATTGTACATTAATAATGGAACACCAAATCAATATTTGTTACACGGGAGGGTTGAACATTCAAAAGTCTATTTATTGGGCTGAAAACTCAATGCAAAGACAATTTTGTTATACACAGCATCCTGTTTGTACACTTACACTTCCCAGCTTAACCAATGCTTTGCACTCCAGCCCTCCTTAAGAACGTCACTGGGGCCAGGCCACACGAAACAGTCCTGTGAGAATAGCTACCTACACTTCTCGAATGACAAGCTGGGCGAACCAACACAAGTTTCTATTTCAGCTCTGTACTGCAGTGTTTAAATTGAACTTTCAGAAGTGCTTTGGGTTAAAAAGTGATATCTGGTTGTTGGGTTTTTTGTTTTTTTTTATGATTCATATAGGTTAGATTGCTTTCCTTATAACAGTCAATGACCTTATCTTACCAGCTTGGTCTTTTGTCTGTTTCTTTGATGTTTTGCTGCTGTGGCCCCAACAGGTTGGCTGGAATGGTAACTAAGCTAAATGGGACATGCAAGGTGGCAACCAGGATGGCCAATGAGTTAGTATAATTGACCTAATTCCTTAGAAACACACGAGAAGGAAAGAGCTAGTTTTGTAATAGGACATTCCTAGATAAGTTAATGGCCAGCAAAATCTAGTGGCCTGAAGTCGAACTCGCATGAAACTCTAAGAAAATGTTCTGTATCTCAAAAGTGACTGCTTAATTTAACATTTTAGATCAGGCATAGATAAGGTAGAAGACCCAAATTATCAAACAGATTCAATGAATGCAATATGTCCCCAATTCACTATTATATTTTGTTTTACTTTGTTTCTCTCAGGAAAAAAGTGCTTAAGTTTATCATACAAAAAGGACTTGTACTTTATGCATGTCAAAAAAGAGAGCTCCCCAATGGAAAAAGATTTTTTTGAATTAGAGGGTATTAGCAAATATATAATGCACCATCCTAGGATCTGCAGTGCTCAGATATCATATGGTACCCTTCACCAGGCATCAACAGCTGCAGAGAAACTGAAGCAGTGCCTCAAAAGCATTTTTTTCCCCCTGAAAAGCCTGCTGTCAGCTCTGCTGAAAAATCATCTTGTGTGTTCCTAGTCAGTTTTACTGACATTAAAAGCTAATGGAACAGTGTGCAATATGTTACAGGACAACACTGTTCTCTTCCTTTACAGCAGTCAGCCCTACCCATTGATAGCAGGCAAGCCAGAATGATGGGCTTTTTTCTCCTACAAACTACAACAAACATTTTCAGTTGTTGTTCAATAAAATGACATCAGATTCTTACCACCTGTTAAAACCAATTCCATTTATTTTATGAAGTTATACTAGGAAAAAACAACATCCATATTTATATGGCCTGCATTGATTTACTTGACTTCTTCTATTATAAGAAAAACGAAAAGTCAGTTACTCATCAAGTTTTAAGTGATGGAGTATATCAATATTAGAAATAACAAAAACTGCTTGCAGCCATTTGATGTTGAAGCAAGTATTGTGGATACCTGCAGCATTCATAAGCAATTCTCATGCAAATACTTTATTTTCTTATCGATGCTTTAAAAGTCTTGCTACAGTGCCAGAAAGCATGAGTGCTTAATGTTTTTCAGGGTAATTCCTTGATATGTGGTGATGAGGACTGGTTGAATTGTATGCTGCTATTAACATCTATTGAAAATTTTGTCCTTTATATTTCTGTATATGAACTGATCCAGATTTCTAATTAGTGGAGGGGGCAGATTTGCAAACACTGTGCATCTGAAAATATTGACAACTACTAAAATGGCCCATAGTCTCTTCAGTCTGGTAAGTGAACAAAGGAACTTCCAAAACTAGGAATCTGTCCACGCTTCATCCGCCAACCCCCCCAAATATTACACAAATTTGTTTCAGAACTAAAATGGTGGATATAGAAAATCCTACTCCATTCTTTTACTTCAAAAGAAAACACTTAGAAACAAAACAGCAGCCTAGGACCTGCTTAGAGTGTCCTTTAATCAGAGGCTGGTTTTTATGTGCAAAGTGCTTGTAATTCAGGTGCTTTGCAATTCTAGAAAGAAGGGTATTAAAAAAAAAAAAAAAAAAAAAAAAAAAGACGACAAAAGGAAGAGTAAGGAGGAAACAGGGTAATGATCTACATTCCCACGCCACAAAATTGTCAGAAATGGGTTTTTGCAATTTCAGAAATACGTGCTAATGAAAAGAGCAAAAAAAGTAGTTTTGATATGTCAAATGCCATGCCAGAATCTCGCCACGGCACAAAAAAACAAACAAACAAAAAAAAAACACCTCTAAAAATATCCACCGAAAGCATCAGCCAGAATATTGCTCTGATCTGAGAGAAAAAGCAGTGCTGTGCTTCCTTCCGTAAGTGCCAGGCCTTTTCAACTACTTCTGTTTCTCTATATAATTACTTAGCAGGAAGTAGCTGAAACCCCTTCATCACTCCCCAACACAAACAGTGAACACTAGAAGGAAGACTTGGCCGCCATCCAAGCATAGTTATGAAATATGTTACGGTTACCCTTTGGATTTCCGAAACACCATCCAGTTACTGGATCAAAAATCTTGGGGAGGAGAGTTCTAGGGGCAGTGGGGGAACTGGGAAGCCCGTGACTGGGACAAAACTGCTCTGCACGAATAGATTACCAATGCACGTAGGACAGTAACACAGCAACATACAAACAACCAGACTCCCCATCGCTGACCGTGGCCGGCAACAGATGCTTTGGAGGAGACTGCATGCACCTCATAAGGAGGCAGGAAAATCTGAATCCAAAATAGGTCCACTTCCTCTAATTGGATATTGGCTTAAAACTACATTGATATATAACTGACAAGAGATCAAAATCAAGATCAAGTTTCAAAGCAAGCATGGTAGTACTGAGTTTAAACAAACAGATGCACACACAACTTACAAGTTCTGCGAGGGTGAATCCGCAGTAGGAATGCACAGATACTTCACTCCCTGTATAGAAAAATAATTAGGAATGAGACAGCAGTATTAAGACAGAAGCATCATACTTAACAATCAATGGACATATTTGGTTTTCACACTGGCACAACTCCATTGATTCTTACAGAGATGTACAATTGTAAATAAGATTCCAGATATTGCCTCATTTGCCCAGACTTAAAATGTTATTTTTACATGTGTTTTTGTTGCTAAGGAACAAGCAGCCAGCTTAGTCATGCTTACCCTGAGATTCTGCAGCAAGCTCTTTAAAATGAAAGCATCTATATCAAATAGGTGTAAAACCCTACACTTTCCTTGTCTTAGGCAACTTACTGTTTTGTTTCATCAGACATTAAGCTGTTATGACATCTTATGCACTCTTGAATTTCTAGCATTCATTCTGAGAAAGCAGATTTATTAGAAAGCTTTTTTTTCTGGTAGTCGCATTCAATCATTTCTCCTTACTTATTTAACAACACAACCAAAAGACAAGGGCATTTGGGAGAGAATTTTCTTTTTAGGAAAGCTTTAAACCTCAACCTTGTCTTCAAAAAGGTGTCCTCATTCTCTTAGTCAGCCACTATTAAAATAAGTTATGAGCTCAAATAGGGAAGTTAGATCATCCCTTTTGAGGTATTGAAAAAAATGCAGTTATGTATAATGAAAACTAGACAATATTCATAGCGGACTATTTTTATTGTCATTGCTCACTTTGCTACTTATCTAACATTTACTAAGCACTCTATTAAAAACACTCTTGAAATGCATTGCCTACTTGACTTGTCAAAGCCATGTTTTTCTAAGAACATACAGGGTACAACTACACAAGATGTCTGTATAAGTGCCACCGTCTACTGGTGCATACAAATGACTGTGCGTTAGTCCAATGCAGGGGCGGGTCATTATTTCAGGTGGAGGGCCGCTTAACAAGGTTTAGTGAGCTGTCAATGGCCGCATGGTGTGGGGACACCGTCTCCCCACCCCGCATGGCACAGCAGGTGGGGGCACTGGTGCCTGGCTCTGGCCAGTGCTGTACATTGCAGTGAGAAGCGCAGCCCCCACAGGGCCATTTGTTTCCCTGGCACTCCCCGGGGAAAGGCTGCTGCTGCCTCCATTGCCTGCCACAGCTGCATGCTATGGGGGGTGGTATGTGGAGGGGGCCCCATACCCTTCCCCTGTCAGCCAAGCTCCACACTGCTGCCACCCCCCCGGGCATGGGCTCTGCACTGCAGCCAGCCCCAGCCCCCGCTCCCAGCTTCCCTACCTGCTACCTGGAGGGAGTGGGACACAGGGGGATCCCACAGAAGTAGCCCCGCCACTGCTAGTGGAGCGGGCCCTTCCACCCACAAGGGTGGGAGCAAGGCAGGATATATAAAAGGATATAATGGGGCAGGTGTAGGTGCCTTGCTCCCACCCTCGTGGGTGGAAGGGCTCGGCAGTGCACAATTTGTTCGGGGGTGTCACGGGCCAGATAGAAGTGCCTGGCGGGCCACATGTGGCCCACGGGTTGTATTTTGCCCGCGCCTGGTCTAAGGCACTGTTTGCTAGTACCAACACATACAGATACTAGAAAAATGGCACATTAGCCAACATGCCAAAGCACATGTGCAGACCCTGACTGAGAGCAATTTGCTCTTGGTCAGCCCACGCAGCATAGGGCCTCAAATGCTACCAATCTCCACCTGGTTGGGGGAGCTGTACCAGCTCCAGGGCAGCTCCAGGGAGCTGAAAGCCAGCCCCAGTCTCCATGCAGCTGGGAGGGAGCAGCCCTGAAGCCAGGACAGTTCCTCCCACCCCACTCCCTGGAGCCCAGGCTTGATGCTCATGGCCCCTGCCTGGCTGCTACATGGAGGTAGGGAAGAGGAGAGCAGGAGCAGCCATGGACTGAACTGCTCCCAAGGGGAGCAAATTTGCATCTGAACATGAGCCATCAGGAACATGCCTGGGAGCTGTTTAACATGCCTGAATTTTCTGCACAGAAAATTCAAGCACATTAACTGCACATGTAGATGCACCCACAGTTTAGTAGAGAAATGCACAAGCCCAATCCAAGGGCATTGACATCAATGGATGTCTTTCCACTGACTTCTCTAGGTTTTAGATTGGATACTCAGTTACCACATTCATGAGCACAGTATAATACAGTAGGAAAAAAAACAAACCCAAAACAAATGGCTCAGATAAAGGCTTCTTTTGGAAAACAGTCTTACAAGCACCTTAACTTAGCTTATTATATTGACACCTCTTCTGTAGCAATACTAGTTCATGTAAAGCTTCACAAACATTATACCTTAATAGGACACAATGATTCAGCTTGATTTGTGTAGTCATGCAATTACACAATCTTATTAAAATGCAAGGCATACTGGCCATATAAAAACCCAAACGCATATACTGTACGGGGTATTCTTATGTTTTATCTACAACCAAGTAATTTCTCTATTGCAACATTCTTCCATGGACTGAAGTGTACCATATGTCCATAAAAGTGTTTCACTCAATTATCAGAAAAGGGCTGGAGTCATTGAAGCTTCCCCAATAACAGAGGTAGACACCCATCTAGCCTTTGTTACAAGAGCACTTGAATCCAGCCCATGGCACAATGCAAAAACTATTCTTTTTGACAGCCCCTTAAGCCAGAACTACCTTTCTCTGTGGCCTAATGCCCTCCCTCTGTTTCCCTCAATGTTGCTCCTTCAATGTATTCCAGAATAACCCTCCATCAAAATTCCCTGCAGTCATATGCCATCAGCATGATCCACATGCCATCAACATGAGCCTCCCATACCATCCCCTCCTTTGTAGGGGCCTGGAGAATGATCCAGCTCATACAAGGTTCAGGGGAGCAGTGATCTTTCACCCCACTTTTGGCTTTGACACCGCTCAGCCAATAAACTGACACATTACCAGCTATGTTTGTCAACTGTTAGAACAACAGGGGCATGGTCAGAGCAAGTCCCTCAATCAGTGCACTCTTCACAGTCACTCAGCTACCAGGTTTCTACCTCTCCTTGGCTCTGCGACTCATCTGGGCATTGCCAGCATGCTTCCGGAGGTGTGCCAGAAGCCAGAGTATAGCTAGTTAATAGTCAACGACTGAGAAAGGAGCAGAGCAAGAGTGTGGGTGTTACTAGAAGGATGACAGCTATGGTGAAGGAAATTTGCTGGGGGTGGGAAGAACTGCTTGACAGGGAGACAGCAGCAGCTTGCAGTGGAGAGGTTGCAGCCTCAGCTGAAATGCTTCTGCAGGATTTCTGACAGAGCTGCTGCACATCAGGTGCTTAAAACTGTTTTGGGAGGGGGAGGGTAATGCACAGAAAGAGAGACATTGCAAAACATCCATGGGGGGGAAGGGGAGGGGAAGTAGAAAGGAGTAGAAGAGGAGTAGAAGAGAGATTCACCTGGTAAACTAAGTCCATTGCTAGCTGAGGGAACCAGCATCTTTGATATCCAAAGATGACTGATAACCCACCTTCATTAGGATAAAGAAGTTCCTGAGTGGGACTCGGGAACAAATTTTACACTGACTCGGGTGAGTAGTACAGATCCACTCAGCAGGTGATAGAATGATCAGCAACAGATTGCTCTTCTAAAACTGACTTCTCAGGGCTGTCCCATGCAATGGTTTTCACTTTAAAAGCTGTGACTTTGACATTAACAGGATTGCTCAAGAGTCACTGTTGTAGGATTTGGTCCTAAATTTGCTGGCTTCGTTCAACATACCTTTTCAGGTCACATTAAATGCTCTTCTCCGCTTTGGACACCAGTGTCAGAGCCCAGAGCTCATGAGCCATCCTCCAACCAGACTAATGTCAGAAGAAAGCAGACTGAGACTAACACATGCTAGGAGATCAAGTGTCCAGCCTTTGTAGCCCACACATTTGAGGAGCCCCACTGATTCCAGATGCTGTAACAGACTGATGGCTTCCTCTAGTCAAGCTAAGAGGGGCTTTCAGAACATGGTGACTTTAAAAGAAGAAGTAGTGTGAGCTTTAGACCCACAATGTTCTTTTTCTTGTCACAGTTGGCTAGTTACTTAACCCGAGTGATGTGAATTTGCAGCTACTATAGAATCTCATGTAGGTTAGTTTCATGCTTACAAGAGACCACATATTGTGCTGAATGGTTCAGCCAGAGCATGGTCTTGGAAGGTGTTGAGTGCCTATGACTTCCAACAAACCCAAGGAGGTGCTACCAAGGAGTACTATTTACCTCTTAGGAGTGCCTTTGCTTATGGTTAATTAGTCCATTTGGCAGATATATCGTTAAAGTAGCTGGAGTATGTCATACTTCATCTATGCACATCACCTTTAAGCATTTTAGAAGACAGTAGTGGGGAACACCATGGCACAAAGAAATAAGTCACCCAAGCAAAATATGACAAACACAAAATGAGTTGTGGGTGGAATCTGAAAAGTACCCAGCAATAGTCCAACTGTCCCCAACAACAGTAAAAATCATGACTCCCCATGACTTTAACTGAAGCGGAGTCAAGGCAATACTCAGCAGCGTTTGGAAAACCCAACCTATCACCAAATATTGGTCCTCGACGGTGAGAAATCTCAGAATCAACAGCACTCATTTCAAACTGTACGGACCACAGAAGAAAGACTACATTGTGTTCTGTAACGGGCAGGGGTTGTCAAGGTGACACTTTGCCCACTGCCCCAAAGAAAGAAAGAAAGATGGATATATTTTACCTTTAATAACTAGACTTGCCCTGTTGAATTAGCTTTTTCTTTTTCATGTACCTTTGAATTTTTTTTTAGCTGGCTGCACATTGCAGACACTGGCAACAGGAAGTTATTTAACTGTTGAACGCTGCTGCCTATGTGATCATAAAATAACCCACTTGAGATCATAATGTTCTTTGTGTATTTATGCCCCAGAGACATCACTGTCTTTCCTGTGTGCACACACTGCAGATAATATCTAAGAATTGTCCCAAAGGGACCTCCAACCAGAACAGAACAGTTTATGTCAACGGAACATATAAATGCAGTAGACTCAAA